ACACACACACACACACACACACACACACACCATTTTAACCTGTTAAGTTTGAAAGAGGATCATATATACACAGCCCTTGTGCTTTGCCAGTCTGCAGGGTGGAGGCCAAGATTAATGCAGAAGGTTGGTGCAATGCTGCTGCAGAGCAGCGTGATCAGAATACAAGATGGAGCGCAGGGGGAAAGGCCAAGAAATATGTCTTGTGCTTGGAGTTCACACAAGTCTCCTTAGCTACTTGTCTGAATTTATTTTTCCCTTAATGCGTGTGGGTTTCTTCCAAACCCAGACTGAAACGGGAGTTGAGTTTCTAACGGTGCCCATTTCTCATCTAAGAGGGCGATGCCATTTCAGTTGGTTAGAGAGCCTTACTCTCCCTTAACCAGCATCTTCTCGCCCTGACTCCTCCCCCATGTAGGTCGCTCTGATGCTCTGCATTGTGACTTTGTGCACAGCTGGTAGCCTTCCAGAAATCCACGTGTCCCTGGGGGAATGGTAGAGCCCATTTCTGATGGCCACAGATGGGCAGGTTGCTGCTGCAGCCACGCTGCTTCCCACGCCTGCTCCTGTGTGTGGCATATGTGCCAATGTGCCTGTTTATATGTCTGTGTGTTGTAAAATAGGAGGGAAACAGCACAGCTCCTTTCCTCTTGACTATCTCTTTTCCTTTTTGGTCTTACTCCTCTCCATTTCTATCTCACATGGCTCCCCATCCCCCGACAGACAGACAGACAGACAGACAGAAACACACACACACACACGCCCTATAACTCTAATTGAATATAAAGCTATTAGAAAAAAAAACTCGCCTTTTAGGAATCTTGTATGTTGGATCGTATGTGACTGGGCTTGCTTCAGGGGGAGACAACCATAAATACTGCAGAGGTTTTACCTAAAATGGCTTTACCTTGAAATAACTCAAGGGGAGTAGGGTTGCTGCTTTACTGGAGCTGATGTTGAGTATAAATCTTGATATTTCTCCTCGTCACCCCCTCCCCTTTTAGAGTCAGGGGAAACAGGAAAAAGAAACGTAGCCAAGAAATGTTAAGGTTTGATTTTGGCTCTTTGACAAACAGATGTTGCTTGTCGTGTTGTTAAGCAGGCACCAGATTGAACCAAGCAGCAGCGTGTGTGCGCACATGCACGCGTGCGTGTCTGTGTGTTTGCTTGTGTATGTGTGTACATGCGTGAGGGAGATGGAGGTGCTTGGGGGAGAAAGTGTTGGAGGTGGGTAGAGGTCTGGAGGGCACAAACTGATCTTAGGAAAAGTTGAGAGCAGGAAGTAGGTAATACAGATCATTGCCTTTTCGCTTTCCAAACTTCAGTTTGGCGGCAACTATATAAAATCGTATTCTAATTGTATTCAAATTGTATTTGGTTGTTTGCTGTTGTTCTAAAGGAAAAGGGAAATAGGGACCTCAGTAGGCATGGAGACCAGGTGAGAGAAGCTGACACGCAGGGGGAGGATCCGTAGGCTGCCCTGATGCCCCCTCCGTGAATCTCTGCCCTGGAGTAAGGCACACCTTCTGTGTTCAGCTGAACTCTGTTTCTTCTGTTTGATGCTTGTTTCTTTTTATAAGTATCATTGTGAAGGTTCCAGGCTTTTTGGTACTTTTCCCAGAACAAGAATCCTGTTATTACGCATCAAGGTTCTAAGGAGGTACCAAGTCTTTACACATTGCATTTCTCTTTTCTTGTGGGATCCAAATGATTTGATTCTCCAAATTTCCCAAGCCGACAGTGTCCCTTCACTTAATCTGTAGCTTTCTAATCTAATTATGGCACAGCATACTTTCTCAGGAGCAAAACAGCTTTGTATAAAGTGTTAAAGTTGGCTGCCATGTAGGCAGTCTTGTACAGCATATTTAGATCTCATTGCTATCAAAGAAATGACATTTACTTTTTAAAAATATGTATCTCGTGTGTTCAGATCAGCATCAAGGTCTTCTACATTTTTTTAAAATTTGTAATTCTTTTAAAAACCTTCCTGGCTTTATTAACCATGGAGCTAGAAAGGAAGCTGGAGGCTGGCATCATTATTTGCATGTTAAAAAGGAAGAAAAATTGTCTCCCTAAGCAAACTTTGTGCTTTCAAAAGTGAAAGTCTCCTTAGCCAGCTGCACACTAAACAACTTGTTACTGGCAGCCTCATTCTCTTTTGTTACAGCGGGTGTGTCTAAAGCAAATTTGCCTCCAATTTCCCACTCTTAACTAGTTGATCTCTATGATACTTCTGTTATAAGTGAACATTTAGGGCGTTTAAGAATTTTTGTTTAAATAACCAAAAGCAACCCCCCCCTCCTCAAGTCGTCTGAGGGCATCTTCAGCTCTATCTTATCCTAGCGTGCCATTTGTCATGTCTTTGTTCTTCTGTCGAACTGGCCATACTTTCCTTTTTCCTTTTCCATAGAATGTATTTTTTTTAACATGGGGCCATGTGGTAGGAAGATTATAAATATCAATTTCTAATTTTCCCTTTGCCTGAAAGGAACACAAAAACCGTGGCATTCGTTTGCCAGTCTCCTCCCTCCCCGACTCCCTCTGGTCAGTTTTTCCTGGGTAGAGAAGGAGGAATTCTACCTAAGCTAGCTGGTGTTCGTTCTGGAAGCCTCTGTGCTGCGTGCTTGAGAGACGCCCCACGCTGGGGTCTGGCATCCTGGTGGCGGTGCTGCAGGTGGATAAAGTCAGTGTGATGCCTGAGACCCATGAATTAATCTTGGAGCAGCAATTGCTGGATGTGCTGCTTTTTTTGAGGTGATTGGATTTTTCTACAAAAAGCAGGGCTGCAGAGGGTGAGAGAAAAGACATCAGGACAACTGAAAAGCCATGGGGAGACCAAAGCTGAGCTGCCCCCCTCACTTCGTGATGCCAGTGAATGCCAATGGGTAGATTTAAGTCTCCTTCCTGCCTCTTTCTCTCTCTCTTATTTCCTTTCTCTCCCTCTCCCTCTCTCGGCTCCATTCTCTTTTCTTCCTTTTCTCTTTCTGCCTCTGTTTCTCTTCTCTCTTTTCTTTCTTTTCCTGTTTCTCTGCCTCTCTTCTTCCCTGTGCATCTCCTTCCTTTCCCTCCCTCTCTCTTTCTTTGTTTCTTTCTTCTCTTTCTCAAAAAGTTGCTCAGTTGAATTGCTCTCTCCCTTCAGGACAAAAGAGGTCTGCTGGGATTCCGTACAAGAGGTACATCTTTAAAAACGAAGGAGGGTGGAGGGCAGGAAATCTTTCTGTTTGTGTCGTTCTGCTGACATCACCATGGATTTGGTGTTCAAGTTCACAGCCAGGCAAAACTCAAATACATTTTCCCTTTTGCAAGCAGCTGCACAGTGAGTTTGTCTTCCATTAGTAAAGGAACAATGAAGGAAAAGCAAATCCTGCCTCTAAAACATGGCCAATGAAAGAACGGTGGAACGGAAGCCAAGAATCCTGCTGTGGTGGAAGGGGATAGACTTGTGAATCCACCACAATCAGATGTTTTACTTCTTTTTTAACAGCCCCATCCGCAGAGAGAAATTATGACTCCCGCACCATTTCAGAATCAAAAAGTTAAAACGAAGTCTCAGTGACGCTACACCATGCCAGGTAATGATTGCCCAACTTGATTATACCTTAACCATCCTTAATTATTGATAGCCTATCTCTTAATCGTGTTTAGCAAATGAGCGGTTTGGTATGAAACACTGGAATTTGGGAGTGTTCCGAGACTCCACATTCCTATTTGGTCAGTTTTCTGGTAAAATCATTTTTAAGGTCTGTCGGTAGCCAGGGAGATTCCAGGAAAAATGTGAAAGGGACTTGTTTGCAGAACCTTTATGTCATGTGTAATTCTGAAAATGAAGTTAATTTAATGCTGCCCAGGGATTTTCTGGAATGACTTCTATTTCAGTTTTTAACAATCTTTTTTTCTCTCGTTCTGGCATTAATTCTAATTTAGCTTTACAAAAGAATTGGGTGACAGAAAGAAACCAACCAAAAAACAAACGAAGAATCTTGATCCATTTAAAATAATTTTATTTTCCAGACGCGGGCGGATGGTTTGACGATATTGGTCTAGCAAGATGGAAACGGGTTTAAAAAATAAGATTCGTAAGACGTTACTTGTTCCAGGTAATGGTATTTTCCTATAATTTCCCCAAACTTTCCATTTCCTCAAGTATTTCCAATTTTTAGGGTATGCTTGAATGATTTAATTAGGAAGAATAACTGCATTTTTAAAAATAGCAACCAGATTTGTAATATATTATAGCCAGTGAGTACAGCAATCGTAGTGTGCAATTCTATGGGACTCAGAAACAAGTTTGAAAGTTATTACTTAATAGTGCTGATTTCTGACAGTGATGTAAGCAGAACTTGTTTGAAACCATCAGACAGTGTTCTTAAACTCTGTGACTATTTTGGGTAATTGAAGTAAAAAAATGTAATTATTATAGGATTGCCTCTAAAAAGCCTAGCATGTGCTCTGAATTCCTGGAAGAATTGCATAATAACAATATTGATGTTTTAACTAGTCCTAGATTGGTGATACCATATGGCATTTTATGGAACTATCCCTATCCCTGCCTAGTGACTAAGGTTTGAGCCCAGTTATCATGACATGCGGAGTTTTTTTTAATGTTACTGGAGGACTTTGCGCCACTTCAAACTGTTTAATTACATAAATGATATATGTGCTTAATACATTCCCTTACCCTGCTTTTGTCATTGTTTATAGGCATTAGCCTACATTTTCCAACTTAATTATTAGTGTTACTATCTAAGAGAGCCCCATAGAATCTTGCTTAATGAAGCAAGCGACACTTTCCTCAGAAAAGAACCCTTATTTTCCTCCTCAACCCAAAGGAGGTTCTTGAAGGTGGTAATCAATTAATATTTGGGGGAGAATAACTACTACCAAACAAAGCATTCTTCTACTAGGTCAGTATCTGACTTTCTATTTTTTTCTGCAGCCTAGGCAACTTCTGCTTTCTCTCATATTTTCTAAAATGAAAACTGTGAGTGTTTGGAAGCTAACACTAAAAACCATTTGGAATGAAAAACTTTTCCCTGTCCTGTGTTTGCCAAAAGAAAAAAAAGGAAAAAGATACAGAGGTGCCCCCAATTGAAACACAGTTTTGAGCTTATTTCCATGGACTTCAGGGGTACAAAGTTATGAAGGTGGTGCTGCTTGAATGACTAAGTGTTACCCTTTGACAGATCTTCATTCATAGCTGACAAATACTGCCTCATATCTTTTTAATAAACACGGTGATAACAATTCTCGTCACTTTGGGAGCCGGGACCGATTCCCTTCCTCCTTAATAAGAGCTCCTGCCTGGGTCACAGGAGTGCCAGCATCCTTAACGGTGTTCAACGTGCCTATCGTTCAAAGCTCCATGCCCTTTGTCAGAAAGCTCGACATTTTTAAATAAAATGAAACAAAGGCCATTTTGAGGGGACTGGTTTGGATCCTACTTGCACTTGGATGGCTGATTCTTTGGATCTGGAAGTCAAGCTACGGAGCTGCAACTAAATTCTGTTTCTGGCAACCTTCACAGTATCTAGAGGCTCCCAGTAATCATACCGCCAGCTCAGTCACAATGAAACAGGCAGACAATGAAGTGTCTATGAATGGTTGCATCTCTATTTGCCCTACTGTAGGTGTCCTGTTGTTTGCTTTCCCCTTTTACCTTGTGTATAAAAGGACTTGCTTTTCTTCTTGAGTAATCCCCAAATTCAGTTCTGTCTTTTTTGTTATTAGAGCCTCCCAGATTTTTGAGAAAGGAGTGAGTAGTCCCATGTTGAGGCACGAGAGAGCATTTGTTTTGAGAGCCAGGATCTATAGACTTTGCTAACAGAATCAAAAAGGTCTCTTTTTAGGCCCTGCTAAGGGATGGAAGCATATGTTTTTCCCAATATCTAGGAAAGGGGTTCTTTGGCTTTTTATCGTCTGTCCTTGAAATGCTTATAGTTAAGACTGTGTCTTCAATCAGATTCACAAAAGGAGCCATTAATGGTGATTCATTTTTTTGAATGCTCCATTCTTACATGCAGAACACGGGTTTTGAAGGAAGGATGATGTTGACACTTAAAATCCTTTTACAAGAAAGCCTCTGAAACAGATTTATTCCCACATCCTTGAACAGTTTTGTGTGTGGGTGCAGGGGGGTGGGGGGTGGGGGTGGGCAATGACACAATTCCTTCTCTGGGTCAAATTTTATAAAATATTTCTGAACTTGCTCAGCATTGGTGTTTGGACCAATAAATGGGGGTGGGGGTTGGGGTGAAGGTGGAGTGGAGTGGAAACAAAAATACAAACATTTCCTGAAAAATGAACCTTCCAGTTTAATATAACCAGGAATCTCCTCTAGGATAGTTTCCAGAAAATATTCATAAGCCTATTGTGATGCTTGCTGGCTTATTCCAGTTGTTTTCCTGAATGCACATTAGAAAAGGAAATTTCACTGCTATTTTTTATGGGATTACAGGTGTTTAAAGGAATGAATTTGCATTTGGTCTTTCTCTTCTTTCTCTTTCTCTGTCTCTCATTCTCTCCTGCCCACAAGTTGAAGAATAACCTTTATCGTGCTTATTTGCAGTACTGATGTCACTTTGCCCAGACTGTATGTTAAGGTCTGTGAATAATGAGTCTTCCATAATACTAAGCAGTAAAATGATGAGGTTTACCCAGAGCCCCCTGCATTTGTGGAGGAAGTGACAACAGAGGGAGGTATGTGGGAGAGAACATAAAAGATGCTGTCTAACTTTTGCCCTTTTAAGAGCAGGACACAGTCTTTTGATTTCTCGCATGAAACAATACAATGGCAGAATCTTGGTTGGACTAATGGCTTTAACATTTTATTTTCAGAATTGTCAAACCCCTAAACGAGAGAAGATACTAAGGCCTGTTGCCACAAACCCGTAGATCCGAACTTGTGGTGATAGTCCACACAAGCTTGTGTCTATAGGTATGTGTCTGTTAGGCGATCTCACAGACCTCGGGCTTTGCCTGTATGCCAATAGCCCTTCAATATCCTTTATCCACTTCAAACGCCTTTATCCCCACCCACTCCCTCCCCCGCCACCCTCTTCCCCTTGGTTTCCTTTAAGAGTGGAAAAAATGGAAGGAAGGGTTGCTGTGGAGGAGAGAGGCCGTTTGTTCTGAAATGGATGAGGTTCTCCAACGAGTACTTGACAGGCTTGCCCTCAATTTCCGTATCACTCAAGTCTATTCTCAGCTTCAGATTCCGAGACTGGCTTTTGCAGGTGAGGCAATAAGCATTTTTGGGGTGACTCAGACAACCTACTGTTGAATGATGAGTTAACAGACACAGAAACAAGGGTTTGTTTTGTTTTCTGTAAGACTGACTAATTGTTTTCAAAGTTATGATCTTTTTTGGAAACTGACAGGAACTTGTTCGCAAAATTCATCTCCCCTTGATTGGAACTGTGCCTTGTAGCAATTCCCCATCAGCCATCGTTCCCCAAGATCAGTCCTTATCTTTAAAAATAAGATTAATGAGGGGACTGTACGTACATACCTAGTGATACTTCTGTAAATAACCAGCACTGTAAGAAAAAGAAGGTTTTTTTTATGAAAAAGAAAGAGCCTGTGTAGGTCCAACTTCATACTTGGCCCAAGTCATTTCATGTCTTCATCATGTTTAAAAGGCTGGAATGAAAATAATTTTATCCCCTTGCCTCTTAAATGTCACTGTTGTGCAGGGATTGGAAAGCCAAACTGACAGCAGATCAAAGCAAAACTGGCTGTATTTGTCTCATTCCAACAATGTGAGCTGAAGAGTCTGTAAACAGAACCTAGGGTGGACACTTGATCAGATTGGGATAACTTTTAAGCGTCCACATTCCATCTGGTCAAACATAGTTGCAGGAATCGCCTTCAGATTTGTATGTGTGTGCGTGTGTGCAGCCTCTTCTTTCAACAAGAGCCCATATGAAGCAGTGGTTAACATCAGCAAAATTCAAACGGATACATTTTGTTTTGTTAAAAGCTATCTCATCTCCTCTTAGGGGCCACACTGTTCAGGGATAGCTAAACCTTTCTCCGGCAAGTACATTAAAATGAAACTGTGTGTGTAGGAATTAGGAAGGCCGATGAAGATCACACATGTTTAAAGGGAAGATTATTGAGTCCTGCAAAAGCTACTCCCAGAGGGTATCGTGTATATGCATTTTCTTTGCTTAACTCTCTATAGCATTGAGGAGTGTTGTCTGTAGATCTCAACTTCCAGCTTGCTAAGAAATCATTGCTGTGTTATGGAGTGATAGAATGTTACATCCAGAAGAGAAATACTCTCCCCTTCGGTGTGAATCATGTATAATTGTTTGCCCAAGGCCTTTATCACCCATTAAGCAAACAATCTACTTAGCTGGTTTTACATGCTTCTTTGAAGTGGTTGACTTAGATTGGATAAGCTGCTAGCAAATTAAACTTGTACCTTTCCTGGATAAACACATGTTTGATAAAGGTAAAAATCACATCTCCACTCACCATTCCTGTCACCTCCTGTTAAGCACGCTGCCCGTGAGCCCAGTGGGGTTCATGAATCCAAGGAGTCACTGAGCTGCTTGTGCTCCCTGCAGAGGGACAAGGGAAGGGCTGCCCGTTGGCCAGGGGGTGACTGCCAGGTTGTTTCTTTTAAAGAGGTTTCTAAAAACCCATTACCCCAAGACAAAAGATTACACAGAGCAGTCAGTTTTTTCAAAGTTTCTAGAAGACCTAAGATATTATTTTAGTCATCTGGCTAGAAAATATTCTAGTGAAAAGCCCAAAGTCCCTGGCCACTGGCCACGAGAAACAGGATATTAAATATTTTACATGATGATGAAATTCAGTATTTTCCCCTTCTTCCATGCTCACGAAGGAAGGGTTCTGTAGATACTAATTATTCCTTCAGGACTCCCTTAGAGTGGACCAAATATTCTACAGGAAGCTGTAAAAAGTAAAACAATTTCAAGTGTTCCCCAGAAAGACTCTAAAAATTTATTTCAGTAGTCATTATTACATGGAGGTGTAGAGAGAATAGGTATAAAATAAACTGGTGTCATTAAAATTCCCAGATATCACTATCAAAATATATTTATTAAGTTGTCACCAGGATATAGCTTAT